CCTACTCCTGATTCTTTGTTTTTGTCTTCTTTAGTTTCTAACCAAAATAATTGAAAGTCTACATGTTTTCTGCCTAACTGTCTTCCTTCTTTTTCCTTTATATTTGTCTCGCATAGCCCAACCATGTCTAAATTTATTTCTCTCATATAATCTACCAAAAAATCTAATTTTGCTATTTTCGGTTTGATATCATTAATATTATGCATTCTTATATACAATGTTTCTAATATGTCTTTGACTTCCTTTTTTCTTGTACTACTATCTAGTTGTAGCATCTTTATTTCTGATATGATGTTCTTGGCATCTGTTAGAAGCAATCAGGGATAGTTCTCCTTTTTTGCTGTCTTTCTTCAATTGCTGTTAGTTTTTGAAGGATTTGTTTAATTAGTTCGAACTGTGATTTGGGTGCTTCTTTGCTTGGACAAACTTTTGAGTGTATTGCAGAACTTTCAGTATTTCTTTTTTCTTTGAAGTCTTCTTTCTTCTTCTTTGCTTGCTAAATAATTAGCTTAATATTTTCTTTATTATCTGTTTGGCTGTTCACTTTGTTGTTTCTTTCCTCCAATGGCCTCTTGACTAACTTTTTTTTGGTTTAAAATAGTTTTCTTGCTTAGTTTTTTTTTGTTCTGCTTCTGCCTACTCTTGCTTGTTGCTATAATAGTATATTGTCTCTCTGTGGGCCTTCTTCTGATCATCTTCTAATTCAAAGTAGATTGTTACCATCTTATGCTGATTTTTGTTGTAGTTAGAGGATATATATACCGCTTTTGCTTTAATATATTTGAGTTGTCTTAAAAGGGCTAATTCAACTACTGTTTTTAGAATCTTTTTTGCAACTAATTTAAACTGGCTTCTTTCAATTAATGTGTATTTGTCAAAGATCACTTGTATTTCTTTAATTAATTTGCCAGCTTCAAAGTATATTGCCCAAGCCTTCTTTAATGCTAGTGTCTTTGCACTGTTTTTAGCCTCGATTTCGACAAGTATGGCTTTTGACTTGCTATTGGCTATAAAGCTTTTAACAGTTGCTTTCCTAGAGTAACTTAGGCTTCTTCTTATTTGAGCTGCTCTTGTATCATTGGGGATGTCCCATAATGTAAGTATGATTTTTTTTTCTTTTTTTTTAGATCTGGAGTTTGTCTTTGAGCTTTCTGATTTGCTATCTGTCTTACTTCTTATATACTTGAATTAGTTTGTATCTTTATTTGTTTGAGATTTTTCTTTTATTGCCATGACTTCTCTTTCTAATTTGTCTTCAATTAGAGTGGCTTCATAATTCTCTTCTTTTGTTTCATATAGATCTGTTTCTTTTTTTGAGGTGGTACAGGCTTGGCTATTATTCGTAACTACTTCAGGCACTTTTCTATCTACAGTGTTTTACTGTGTGGATTTATTTTCTTGTATTTTCTTCAGTGTCTTTGTAATTCCAAAGTCTACTTGCCTACTTTTTTTTTCTATTAGAAGGCCTTTTGTAATTCTAGCTTTGGCTACTTTGGCTATTTTGTTTCTCTTACTTTCTGGTACTCGAGCCAATCATATAGTTCTATCATATATCTGATTATATATATTAGCTCAGGTTCTGTACCGGCTATATTTGCAATCACTCTATCTTTTCTTAGAGTTTTTGGCTTGTGTTCTTCAATACACTTCTGCATATTTTTGTTAGATATTTGAAAAATATTTTTGTATTTGTCAAATTTTTTATTCTAATCTATATTAGTTGAAGTTTGCTGATTATCTTGCACAATCTAGCTACGCTTCAGGGGCTGTGCTTTGATATTCTCCCAGATCATCTGTTTTGTACAACTTGATACTGTGTTTTTAAGATCTGCCATATTGTCTTTTTTGCATGTTTGTTTGTATAGCACATGTTTGTTGTTTTGCTGTGGTGTGTTTTGTTTTGATGCATCTTTTATATCATGTTTGTTTGTTTACCCTGTGATCTACATTTTAGGGTTAAGGACAGTTCTTCACTTTTGTTCGTTTTAATGAAAAAAATTTGGTTTTAAGGTTCTTTTCTATTGTGTTGTGCTTGGGCAGGAATTTTTTTATTTAAACTATATGTTTTTTCTTCTTCTCTACCTTTTTCTTTAATTTTGTTTTTGCAGTTTTTGTTTTAGTTTTTGTGCTAAAGCTGGTCTTTCTTCTGTTAGCTTTTGGTTTGAAAGATTAGCAGGTAGAGTTATGTCTTTTAAATTTATATATATATATATTTAATACAGTATTTAGTTTGTTATTTTAATATTAAAAATTATTTTTTTATTTTTTTCAAACTTAGTTGGCTAAAAAATATAATAGATTTAAATTTTAATAAAATTTTTTTTTATATTTTTATAAAAAAGTTATTTTTAAAAAAAAATTTATTATTATTTTTTTCTTTTTAAAATTAATTGGTGATCTATGAGTCAATCAGAAAGTAATCATAGTGAAATGTAATGCAAATTACTTATAGAAATTGTGGCTTAGCAAATGTGACATACACATATTTAAAACTTTTTTTATACTAAGTTAACTACTCTTCTAACTTAAGAGTCTTTTGTAAAGCTTGTTGAAACATATCTAATAGTGATTAAATCATCTAAATCGGCCTGATGGATATCAAGATATCTTTAAAAAACCTTTCTTTAACTATATAAATTTCTTTAAAACAATACTATTGTTTTATAAAAAAAATTACATAGTTAAAAAAAAGTTTTTTAAAGATATCTTGGCATCCACCAGGCTGATTTAGATAATTTAACCACCATTGAATATATAGGGTGAAGTCAATAGAAATGGGACAAATTTATTAAATAAATTTGTCCCATTTTTATTGACTTCACCCCATATTTCAACAAGCTTTACAAAAGTTTTTTAAATTAGAAGAGTGATTAACTTAGTATAAAAAAAAGTTTTAGATACATGTACTCCAAATTTGCTAAACTACAATTTCTATAAATAATCTGTCATATTTTACTATAATTACTCTCTGGTTATCTTATGAATCACCAATTAAGTTAACTTAACAACAATAATAAACAAACCAGATTACTTAATTAACAAGCCAGGTTAACTTAATAACAGTAACAGATTCTAGGTACAGTTTAAATTTATAAAGTAATTATCTCTGAACTTACATATAATATATATAGCAATTTTTCTAATTTGTATGCAGATTACAAATTAAATTTTTTAATTAGTAATTTATGAGTTAATCAGAAAGTAATTATAGTAAATATAATATAGTATGAATTATTTATAGAAATTAAAATTTTGTAAATATAGTATATATATATTTAAAACTTTTTTTTATACTAAGTTAACTATTCTTCTAACTTAAAAGACTTTGTAAAACTTATTAAGATATGAAGGTAAGTCAATAGAAATCAAGCAAATTTTTTCTAATAAAATTTTTTTATAACTTTAAACAAGAATAATTTGACAAAAACTTAACCAAATTTAATAAAAATTTTTTTAAATAATTTTTACAAACTTGTAGAATTAGTTTAAAAAAATTTTATTAAATTTGATTAAGTTTTTGTTAAGTTATTTTTGTTTAAAATTTTAAAAAAACTTATTAAAAAATATTTGCTTGGTTTCTATTGACTCAACCCCATATATCTAATAATAGTTAAATTATTTAAATTAGCCTAATAAATGCCAAAATATTTTTAAAAAATCTTTTTTTAACTATATAAATTTCTTTAAAACAATATTATTATTTTATATAAAAATTTATAAAAATTTATATAGTTAAAAAAAAGTTTTTTAAAGATATCTTGGCATCTACTAGGCTGATTTAGATAATTTAACTACTATTAGATGCATTTTAACAAATTTTACAAAAGTTTTTTAAATTAAAAGAGTGGTTAATTAATATAAGAAAAGGTTTTAGATACATGTATACCACATTTACAAAACCCCAATTTCTATAAGTAATCTGCATTACATTTCACTATAATTACTCTCTAGTTAACTTATAAATTACCAATTAAATTAAAAATTTAAAAATTATAATTTTATAGTATATTTTATAATTAATAATTATTATAAACTATATTTTGATAATACTATATACAAAACTATATTACAAATAATATAAAATATATTTGTGGTGTTGTTGGTGTTAATATATTTTTAGGGTTAAGGTGCAATTTTAAAGATTTTTATTTTTATTTTTATATAATATAATGTATATATATTAAATATAAGGTTTTAATTTTAGTGATAAGGTTTTTGGAGGTCTTGGGCATTTTACTTAAAATACCCGATCCTGTTTACTTAGTACGTTTTTTGAGAAATAGAGACTTATGGTGTTGAACACCTATGGTGCGGTATAGTAAAGTTGCTGTATTATACTATACAGTATAGTATATATTTATATATATACCACTGTACATATAATGCCTGTTTTTTTAATATCTAAAATGTGCTAAAAATAACAAACACATTTATCAAGTAACACAATTATAATCAAAGTGTATTCGTTTTCGGATATGTCTTGTAACATTAAATAATTTATAACCTATTATGGGAAATTACCGAATATTTATCACCGGAAAGTTTACTCAGAATGTGAGAGAAAACAGCACTGCTCCTTGCAATACATTGATGTAAATACAGAATTTCATTATAACAGCAACAACAGTAGCAGCATCAATAGCATCATACATGTACGTACGTACTAAAACTCGCATTTTACATAAAAATATATATACCACCAAGAATAAGTAAAAAGATTTATCGTACAAATAAATCGAAACACATTTTTATATATAATCAAACGTTTTTAAATATTGATAAATTACCTATTTAAACAGTTACTAAAATAGGTAAATATTTTTCCTAAAGCTTCCTAATCCCTGCAGATAAAATACCAAAATCTATATATCGTCATTCATTACTTTTTTTTTCCTAATATAATTGGATTCATATCTATGTCAATATTTAACATAACCAAATGTGATAAAAATCATAAATTCGACTTAAATCATAATATTTAACGATCATACATTCTAATTTTAAACCGAACAATCGCAATATCCTGAATCAGAATCGACAATAGTTGAATCACTTGAGTCGATATCTACAATCGTTTGACTTGAGGAATTACTTCTAGCATAATCAAAATCGATTATTTTCAATTCATTAGAATCGTTACTTGATGCATTGGTACGAGCTCGCTTATTACCTTTCGGTTTCTGTAAATAAAAAGTAACAATCATTAATATTATGTATTAAATCTATCATTGAAAATCATAAAAAAAATAATGCATACTTTGATTGGAGTGAACACGCCATTTTTGAAACAATGTTCTTCTTCAGGATTAATAGTCCAACAATGCAATCTATCCTCTTGTCTAGGTACTCTTATGAAAGCTGAATTGAGAGAAAGATTATGACGAATAGAATTCTATTTTGGTTGATTATAAATATAGTAAATTTAAGTAAATATGATGAAATAAAGAAATGATAATGTTTAATACTTTAGAGTACCTTCCAACCATCTTGATCCTGTTTATAGAAAGGATAAGTATCCGAAATCCACTTATAGATTTCTGCTAGAGCAAGTGTCCTTCCAGGAGCTTGCATTAATGCCTGACCAATCAAAGAAGAGTACGAATAACATGGTTTTACATTAGGATTTCCAGGCGCACTAAAAGTAGAGATTTTTGGAGCGGTGGATTTGGAGGTATTATCACCCTTGGCTATCGAGGGTGCTATATTTGTCTTGGCTTTAATAACAGTATGTGAATTGGATATTGGTCTATCGATGTTTTCTACTTTTGTTTTGTGGGTGGAAGGTAAAATTGGAATTTGTTTGTCAAAATCTTGAACCTTCATCTTGAAGGTATATGTTGTAGGTGGATCTATGTTTTCTACAACTTTACGGACCGTTGACAAAGTTGATAAAGCAGGCAATGGGGCAGGGATCTGTGGATCTGACTTTGCTTTACGCTAATAATAAATGATAAATAAAATATTAGTATAATATATAACGATAATCTTAATTAATTAAATAACGCGCCCACTTATGACATTTTTTAACAAATTATTTGATAAATTCTATCATGTACAGTAATAGCTAATTGCATTGCCTCACAGAAATACTAATCAAATACATCACTATCAGTAAAATAGTCATAGAATTTTTAATTTTATTTTTTTTTAATCAATGACAAATTAGCCAAGAACGCGTCAATTCATAACATGACGATTTCCACCTTTGGAGAAATTAGATTATATAAACTCACCTTGGATGACCGAGTCGCGATATGGTAATCTGGTATCTCTGTCAATTTCCTGTTCAATATCTCCTCCATTGTAGGCATGGTGTCCATTTTTGTTAAAGATTTTCTTGAATATTGAGGAGTAGATAATATTTGAGAAAAAGTAGCGGGGGTAGAAGAATATCTCTCTTCCTTTACTTCGAATGTGAAACTACGCTTCGCATCTAAAACTTCCTCCATAAGAGGTAAAGTTTGGGAAAAATCATATGGGGAATATGGAGACGAATCACTTGAAGAATCATAATTTTCTTCAGGCTCTTCTACCTTGACGCGCCGGTTCACGTTCAGTATCTCCTCCATGGTAGGTAGCCGTGGAAGTTTAGGAGGTTGTAGTGGTATACTTCGAAAAGTTTCCGTCCATTCATAACGATTAATACTGTGTGAAGATTTTATTTTTTGCTTTTCTTTAACAACGCGGTGCTTGGTTTCTAAAAGATCTTCGGTTTTATGACCCTTTTCCTTTTTTGTAAGTCGGCCATTAAGTACCTCCTCCATAGTTGGAATCACAGCCGTACTACTAGGTGCGGGTAAAATATAAGAAAACCGTTGACTTTCCTTATTCCGCGAAGACCTCTCTCTAGGCATTTTTTTTTTTTTGTTTATTTTTAATTTTTTTTTTCTTTTATACTGTTCTCTTTGAATTCAAATGCAAGAGGTAAAGAACAGAAATTGGTTTCAACGTGTGTCAAAACGAGAAACAATCCAAATATAATAAAATTAATTCTTTTTTATTGAATTCTCATGTTCGGTTTGTTGATTTGATTGACTTTGTAAGCAAATATTTTTTTTTTTTGGGGTGCCCCTATTTCTTATTGGCTAGATTAGTGCCGGGCGGAATTTTGAGGTTACATGAACGCGACCGCGACAAAAAAAATGCATGTGATATTTGTACGTACTATAGTGAAATTATACAGTAACAGTATTAATTTATATTACAATAATATAATTTTTTTTTTTTTATCCGTTCGCTTATCAGGTGAGTGGTCTCCTCAAGTGATGGGCAATTTGACGCGTATCATCAATGACCTTTGCACTTAGCCAATCAAGATACACGCGGATCATTCAAAGAAGATTTCTATTTAAATGAAATCCTCGAACGTACTTGTAGGATTGATTCCCTTCTCAACTCATACTCCTAACGAAAAATTTTTTTCTTTTTCCTTTTTTTTTTTTTTTTTTTTGAAATCTTACAGCTTAAAATTATAAATTTGAAAACATAATGTATATGAAAATGAAAATTTTGTACACAGATTTCTGTAGCATAAAAATCCCACAAGACTAACTTGGAAATAATAATATAATAATAATAATAATAATAATAATAATAAATTTCTGAAAATACAATAAAAACATATCATAGAAAAAGACACCTATATATCTACAACCAAAATTTAAAATTCCGGTAAAAAAAAAAAAAAAGAGAAGAGTAAAAATAAAAATAATAGTCACAATGATTTCATATACTTATCATTATGCTGTTATTCTAAAAAGTATTTTTTTTTTTCCTTTGTGCAAATAATTTACATACTACAATTTCAACTCTCCCAAAATTTTCGAACACATATTTTTATATTGCCATGGATCACCAGCAACTCTGCGGAATTGTAATCCATGTACTCCAAGTAAAAGGGGAACTTTAACAATAAAAATCTCAAATCTCACAACAAGATCCGTAACATTAGCAGTGCTAGATACCGAAGAATCGTTACCGGATTGATTACCAGAATGTGCATTAGCCGGTAATGAAAGTCGAACCTCGCCATCAGCCGAGAAACGAAGATCTTGTCCTTGAGCGTAACTATCTTTGTATGATGTTGAGGATGAAGTTGAAGCAGCAGAATTACCGGATGAGTGACTGCCTCTACGTTCATTTCGATTAAAATGAGTGTGATGATGATTTGTGATTCCTCCCGGGGGATAGTTGGAAATAACAACAGACTTTAAGTCAATGCTCGGTATGTGAACACATTCAAAGCCACCTCGACCCTCACGCCACTTGACACCAATTCGATCAAGTACTCTTATAAGATCTAATCGAATTATTGAAGGAGGTTTTGTGGAAGTTGTTGCAACGCTAAACAAGCCTTTTAGGTATACCGGCCGAATCCATGAATCAGCGGTGCCACCTGGTAAAGGTGAGTGTGGAGATGATGATGGTGGAAAATTGAAATCATTGTCAATAATTTGTTGATTCGCATTTGGATTAACATTTATGGTCATTGGTGCACCGCTAGAAGTGCTTCGTTGATGTGAAGAACGGTTTATGTTAGGAGAAGCACTTGAAACAGTTGTAGACTTATCAGACTGTGGATTATGTTGCGATAATGGCTCAACCAATTGTGGTAAAACACCAACAGGCCCTTTAATACTAGAATTCTTTGTCGAATTATTTCCACTTGTACCATTATTACCATTAGTACTACTAATAACACTCTGAGGCCTATTATTTCCAACAGAATTTCGTTGCCTATGACGTCGATAATCTGCTTCGGAAATGGATGTGGCCCTCGATATTATTGTTGATATCCTGTGGGAGAAATGATTAGGATTTTCTTTCTTTGGACCATTTGGAGTGGATCCATGGCGACGATGTTCCGTATGGCCTCTTGATGATGTGTGTGTTGGAGAGATTGGAGAAGATGGAGATGATACGGGATCACGAGGTTGGCCAACTATAGCTAAACTCAAGCGCCTAATTAGTCCACCGCCAGCACTGCCACGATTTGCGGATAGTTCAATGCTCTTTTTACCATAATTCAACTCACCACTAACTTCATCCATTGTTTCTTCGGGAATTTCTTTCTCTTTTATAACAGGTGTACCTACTGAAGTATTTTTCATATCACCTTCAACACTAGTACGTGAGCGAGGTCTCGTTCCGGAAGGAACAGTTGCACGTCTTATCACTTGTGAATTTGGACTTGTCCCAGGCGATACAACTGGACGCATGTTATCAAAACCAGCGTCATTTGAATAGGATGGGTCAGGCATAGAAATGTAGGGTACTTGCAAGCTATTTGTATCAAGTGAAGATGAAGAACCAAATTGAGGAATACCACCTTGTTGTATTAAACGATCTCGTTCAAGTTTTTCTTTAACGAGATAATAAATTGAGATTAATGGATGAACAGCTTGTGTTGGATCAGCCGAAATTTTGTCTTCTTGAACCGAAACGCTAGAACCCGATAATTTTCTACGATAATATTCGAAGCCACTGGTTCTTCTTCTATTGTCGCATGGTCCACCAATATTATTGTAGTGTTGAGCTCTAATAGAACCTTGATAAGAATCACTTTTAATGATACTTTCCAAGCGAGCTTTTATTTCATGCTCGGTACCAAATTCAAAGCCTGTCATTCCGCGAATAACTTCAGGATCTAGCGGAAGAGTGAGTGGACTTCTTGAGGGTAAATAATTTTCGGGAGGACCATCGTATCCTTTATTCATCCAAGGATGATTCATTACTTCAGCAAGTGTAGCACGATACATTGGATTGGTAACAAGCATTCTCGAAAGAAGATGTTTACAATCTTATAAATAATAAAATTTTAGTATTTAAAAAAAAAAAAAAGTATATATACATATATATATATATGTATATATACGTGTATATTATCAATAAGATTAACAATTATATTAACAACTATTATTCATTTATAAGAACTTACCGCTACTTAACCATCCAGGATATTCAACCACACCCCTTTTAATCTTTGCGTGCAAGGCAGGCATGCTTTGATCATCGAATGGTACTTTACCACAGACAAGAACGTAAAGGACAATTCCAAAGCTCCATACATCAACCTCGGGTCCAGTGTACAATTTTGCATTTAATAATTCTGGTGCAGCGAAATATAATGAACCACAAAATGTTGAAAGATGAGAGCGTGGTGAATATAAATTTGATAGCCCAAAATCAATAATTTTAATAGAGCCGGACTTGGATATAAGGATATTTTCAATTTTTAAGTCTGACACATTTATAATAAGGTAGGATGGTAAGATTTTAGAGTTAACATTAAATAATTGAAGCCTTTAAAATATTTAAAACATTTGAAATTAAATTATATACATACCTCGATGTACTATAGAATTTCTGTGACAATAATCTATTTTATAAAAAAAAATAAATATACGCATGTATATAACAAATTAGCAGGGTATTAATATTAATAATAAATTATTATTTTTTTACCAACCTAATGCGCTTACTATCTGCCTGGCAAATTTTCGAGCATGTTTCTCTTTTAATTTTCCATGGCTGATGATATAATCCAACATTTGACCGCCATTAACATACTCGAAAAACATATAGTAATGGTGTGGTAACACCATTACTTCTTTAAGTTGAACTATAAAAGGATGGTTCAACAAAAGCATTATTGCAGCTTCTCGAATGGTGCGAATTTCCTTATTATCATCTTTAGATGTGTCCTTGTCTTTGTTATCTTGAGATTTGTCTGATGGAAGTACCCTCGGGATAATCTTAACAGCCAACTTGATAAAATACAAAAATTAAAAATGAAATTATTAATCAAGAGTAGGAGTGATGGCACGGAGGCTTGATGCATTTTTAATTATATTATTGTCATGTGCTTCATCATAAAATAACTTTAAAATTCAGAATTATTGCATTCAATAATAGCCTATAATCACTATCATTTAGAATCAAATCTTTATCTATTATTATAATTGTATCACAATTTATCAAAAAAAAAAAAAACAAACTATTTGTACCTTTTCACCTGTTAATGAATGTATTGCTAATTTTACTTTCCCCATGCTGCCAGCACCCAATGTCTTTGTTAGCGTATAGTTACCGAGAACTTTTTTTGGCTTAATTCTTGCTCGATTACTACTAGTATCTGAAGCAGTAGCTTCTCCGGTAGGATCAGAAGTTGAAGCACTATGTGCTTGAACATTTGTATTTTGCTTACATTGTGATGTATCTTTAGATGCACTTTTAGTATTTGGGTTTGTTATCTCACCTCTTTGTAAGAAAAAATGCATTATTATTAACAACTATCAAATAGCTATTTCTCAAATATTGGTATTATGACAAAATTTTAAATATCCTGGGCTTTATTAAAAAAACTACCTGTCACACTGTTGTGAATCGTCAGGTGGTGAATACTCGGGTAACTCCGAAGGTAAGGGTGAATCGCGTAATATTGATGGGCCATTGTTTTCAACTTGGAGCAAACTATCCTCATTATCTGATCCTTGCATGGCAACATCGGGGTCAAGGTTCTCGCTAGCTGGATGGAATTGTTCACTTTCGTCTTCCGTCGAATAGTGAGAATTATTACCATCCATGCTTATGGAATAGTCGTCCAATACTCGGTGTGTTTTACTTTGGGTTTTGTGGCTTGGACTGGCATATCCATTTTCTTGGCTTGTATCTTCTATGGAAGTTGATGGTATGTCTTTTTTTGTTGAATCTTTATAACAATGTTTATCGTCCATCGAAGTAACTTTTGGTATTGCAGTCATTGGTCGTGTGGTTGGCATGTAGTTTTTGATAATGCAATGAAAGAAAGATAATGATTTTATAAGATAATTGTCGATTGAAGCTCTATGAAAATATTTTGTTGAGTGGAGTCTCTTGTCACAAGATAACACTCCGTGCAGATATAAAACCTTATTGTAGCACAAAATGAAAATAACTAAGCCGGAATTCAAAAATGTAGTGCAACAATGTTCTTTAATTTTATACTGTACACTGAAGTACATATACATTACATATAAAATATATCACCTACTGAACCTAATGAAAACATTGTGCTCCTTTAGGATACGTTCCTCGCGTGCTTTATAATATCGAGTGTTAAGAAAACATGTATCCAATAAAGGTTACTTTATTAAAGAACGTTTTTAAAGATTGGTTAATAAAAGTGGCGCAACTTTATATATGCCAAGCCCACCCATTTATTAATTCATTCATTTTAACAAAAAAAAAAAAAATTGATCAGATTTATTTAGGTCTAGTTAGCAGCATTCCTAAAATAGCTTCGTGCTCCATTCGGACATTATATTTAACAATCGTACTACCGTACAATTGTGCTAACTCTAAAAATAATAAATTTACAATTAATTACAGAAAATTGATACCGATACGCATACGTATTAATTTTTTTTTATAAATCACAAATATATTTATTTATATCGTTATTTCAATGCACAAATGCGTTATCTACGTACTACGTATTAAATTTATTTGAATTCTGTTATGATTTTTAAAATTAATTGATAACAAATAAAGAAAAACCTTTAAATCAAATATATAATAGATTATTAAAAGGAGTATATTTTATTGGCAATCTTATTGGCAATCAAGTTAAAAAAAGATCAAACACTGGAATTTACTGGTTAGAATTAAATTTTTATTATACCGATACGTAATAATCAATAAAATTAATTTAAATTTTGAAAGAACATAATGAAAATCTTGTGGTCCGATTTCTCTAAGATGAATCAAGTAATATAATCTCTTTCGATACCGGTCACCGGATCACCTCGTAATCATTAAATTTTTGTCGAATATTTATATTTATCGTTATATCAGTGCCGCAAAGGGAAAACCTGTAATTCTTTATTTAATAAGAATTACAGGTTTTTCCTTTGCTGCATTCATATAGTTAACGTTAATAAAATCAAACCTTGAATTTAAACCTGTTTTTAAATACGGATTTATTCAATTAGTACAATCGGTAAAGATTAGCATATACATTAATGACCTAGGCCATGCGACAAGTATATAGTACGTATGTAGCAGAGGAAGCGATGTCCTTTTCCGGTGATATCCAAGCTTATTGGCCAATCAACTGAAGAGATCAGGTCACGACAATAAGAATATTTTCGGATATGAAAAGATTCGAATTTTTGGCTTTAACAGTGTTTTTTAGTCTTTATTGACAAAACCATATAAGACTAATTGTAACATAATTCGGACTATATATTTACTATATATTACAAAACTAAACCTATTTCCGTTTACAACATTAAAAAACAATTGCACGATTTGTTATATCTAAATTTATATATATATATAAAATTACAATCAACCCCCTCTATAATCACACGTTTTGTTTACTTAATAACTTTTTTAAAAAATGTGCTTATAAAGAGGTTGTGCTTATATATATAGAGGTAGTTTTTTATATGTTTAATAGTAATTTGTTTTTGAGTATAGAATGTGATAAAGAGGGGTTTTTATATGATGTGATTATAGAGGGGCGACTGTAGAGGGGGATGACTGTATAATAAAAACATATATACTGTATATAAAATTAATACTTATAATCTTGGAACTTTGCATTTTTTTAAACTTACAAATTAATTTATTTTTAAATTTTTGAATTTTTTTTTTTTTTAAATTTGGCAATCCTGCCAATACTTTATTAGGCTTTGTAAAATTTTAATATATTGAATACAAAATTTTTAGATGGCTACTCTACCTAATATCTAACTTATAAATAGTTTCAAAGAATAGATACTTTATAACAAATATTTTTTTTAAATAAAAATTCTTATTTTTTTTTTGGTATTAAGATAATTTTTATAGCCAAAGACTTTTATTAGATTATTAATTTTAGATTACAATTATAACAAGAGTATATTAAATCATATATACACTTTTGGTGTTTAATTTAAATAGTCTATCCAAAGGTTCTATACTATTTGCTATATTTGTATTCCAACTAGTTGTATATCAGAATTTCAATATTCAAAATCCAATATTTAAAATCCTGGCAACAAAATTTCAATATACAAAATCCTAACAAATTAAATTTTAATAATATTAAAATTAGAATTTTAATTTATTAAGATTTTGTATATTAGAATTTTGTTGCTAAGATTTTGTATATTGGGATTTTGTATATTAGGATTCTGATATACAACCACCCTAACTACAGAAGATATCTATTTAAACTTTCTAGTTACAACTACTATTTATTTCTAATTTAACTATATAACTTACTATTTTATATATATAGATTTTGCAATATCTATAGATTTTACACTTATTTTAAAACTTATATTGTATATAGCTACCATATAAAATTTCATAGTCCTATGATGATATATGCTAAAATTTTATTAGCCAAAAATAAACTGCTAATTGTCAACATGTTTTTCAATTATAAAATTAACTTTTAGCATTAGAATACTGTTATATTAGCGATATATTAGTATTTTTTAATTTTCATTAAGTAACTCTGTGTAACTTCTAATTGTAGTACAAATCTGATTCCACCAATGGAATCCTTGATATCAATTTCCTTAGCATATTTTTTACCGTTTGTCAATCGGGTTAATAGTTAACGAGTTATTAAGATTTAAAGATATATAACTATAGAAGATAATGAATAATAATCTTTCACCCCTGTGATGCAGACCCGTTGGTACAGACCTGTTGGTACAGACCGTTGGTATAGACACAGACCTGTTGGCACAAAATATTATTTGTTCTTATATAGAGTTTTAAAAAATATAAAAACCCTGTCTTTTTGCTCAAGCCAGGATAAGTTTTGCCAGGTTCTGCTAGGTCTTAACTTAGATTCTTCTAACTATTCTCTAATAAATAAATATTATCCTTTTAACTATATACTTGTTAAATTATATACTCTCTTTTATTGTCTTTTTGTTATTCTTTGTTGCTTCTTTTCTTTCTCTATTTAATCATATTCTTTATTCTCTACATATTAAATCAAGTAGTATAGATAACAAGACTAGTTATCTATACTACAATATGAATAAGCACTTGGGTTAAGGTTAGATAAGACTTATATATAGCAAAATTTTGCAAAGAATTTTTTTGTTAAAATACAAAAAGTAGTTTTATAAGCTAAATATTGATTTATAGCTGATTTTTTAAAAAAGTAGTAGTTTGTTTTGTTTTTATATTATATTTGATCCTGTACCATGATTGGTTTAAAATCACAGAACTACAAACTTTTTATATAATAGCTATATATAATGAACTTACTATCTATTTCTGACTAATCTATTTATAAAATAAACCTAACAGAATAGTCTATATTTTACATATATTTTTATTTGTATATTTAGTAATTTTTTTCTAATTAGTATCTATTATACTACTATTACTAGATTCATATCTTAAACTATTTTTTAGAACACTGCTATAACTTAATCTGTGTTTTAAGCTACAACTTTTTTAATTAGTTTTCTATTACATATTTCTTGCTCTTGTAAGATTTATACAACCTCAGTATTCATATTTAAACTTGTTTTTTTTTTTAAACTTTTTACTAGTTCTTTTTTATTTTTAGCTAGCAATTCAAAAAAGTTGGTCTGTTCAGTTTTATATATCTTATAGTCTTTTTTCTTTTGGTATATGCTTTTAAAGTGTTTTTTTTTTTTCTAATTTGATAACCTGGTAGTTTAGCTAGTATATCTATCTATTTAAAGACCTAGTCATTTAGTTTTCTAGTCTTGAACTTTAATTTCAAATTTGGTCTTTCTGTAGTACTATTAAAGATCATATTATCTTTCAACTTGGGATTTGCTAAACAGATTTTTAGTTATTTTAGTTCTTTAGATTTATTATATTAAAGCTTCTATTCTAGATAGTATAATCAAGATTACAGATTAGAATTCAACTAATTATTAATAGCTATTAATTATATTATAAAACTATTTTTCAAAATACTGTTTATAAAATTTAAACTCTAAACCTGTTGTCTAGAGGTATAACAATTCTACTACTTTACTAAATTGCTATACTTCTTTAAATAAAAAATTATTAAAGAATATAAATTTTATTAATTAAAGTTTTTTTTTTATTATTATAATAAAAATATATAAAAAAATAGTCAATTATAAAGATATAAAACTTATACAAGTTAAAGTTATAAAAACTGTATTGCAAAAAGACAAAAAATAAGGGTGTGGCAACCTAGTGAAGTGGTGGGGTTGCTGCACCCCCAAGCGGCAGGTCTAGAGTTCGAATCCCACGGACGACGATTTTGAA